TTTCATTAAAAGAATTCATTGAAGAATATTTCTTTGTTGCACGGTCTTTGTTCTGAGTTATTGATGAGACTCTAACTTACACTATATTATTGTTGTTGCTCTTATATATCATTGAGTCAGAACCAACGCATAGCCAACCCTTTAGCGAGTTTTCAGAGTAAATCACATGGAAGGAGATTGCTCTTCCTTGTGAACCTGCTGTTGAGATACTGGTTACATAGCTTTCCGCATCAGAGCACAGTGCAAGTCTCTATAGTAAGACAAACAGAGTTAGTGATAGAAATTCATGTTTAATAGCACTAATTTTACAAATATAAAATGAAGAGATAAGGGGGAATAAAATTAAAAATAGAATAAATATAAGGATATGCTTAAAAATACTTAAAAGGTGTGAATATTGAGAATACTGAAAAGAATACTCAAAAGTATTTTTAACTTTAAAGTTAGAACAATTGACACAGAAGCAATACTCAAAGCCATAAATGTTTTCTTAGCTAAAACATGTCCCATATTTAGATTTAAATTGGTTACTCTATTTTGAGTCAAATATTAACAAAAAAAATCCAACAGCTGGAGTAATCTTAGAAGACCTTTAGAAAAAGTTATGGTAATAAAAGAATTCCTTAGATATGGCAGTCCAAGGTACTTGCTTTGCAAGCAAGGGTGAAATAGAAAACAATTTCATGTCTTCCCGTTGTTAGGTGCCAGTGAGTCAGGTTATAGTAATATTGAACTTGTGTAGGATCCAACTCTTAGCTGACTCTCTGATGGTTTTCCCCAGAGGACAACTCCCATCTCTTTTCACCTGAATCTCTAGTGCATTTGAACAGCAAAGGATATGCAGTCTTTGAGTTAACAGCACAACTTCCTACAGACCACACCATCTGAACTCTCTGGTTTTTTCTTTTTGGTTTTGATTATGTATAATAAACAAACAAAAACCAAACCACCGTCCCTGACATATCCTGTGCCATCCTCAAAATCTCTGCGGTAGTGGAGCGTGCATTTGCAGCCACTTTGGTCTCTCCATCTCATTGAAAGTCATGTTCTCTTTCACTGACCCTCTACTTTTCCAAGCATCATAATATCCATCTTCAGTTGTTTCAGTGGTTTAATAATACCAAAAAGAGAATTGCCTAAATAATTTTCAGAGGTGAAACAAAATTAACTTTTACGTATAAAGTCAATATTAAGAGTTCATTGAAAAAGAAATGTTTGTATAGACTATACAAGCAATGACTTAAAAAACCCCAAATGATCCAACCAAAGTCACATTTATTAGAATAAGAAAGTGGGCAGCATCCTGAGGACTTGCAGTCTGCCCTTATTTACATTAGAACCAACACTCAGGATACTTCAGTTTTATGTTGGAGGTGAGATTATTCTAAAGTATAATCTTATGTCTTTACTTTTTTCCTCTGGGCAAGAAATTTGGTCCTCTGCCACAGTAAACACAAGTATCATTTCCTGCTAAAATTTACATCTCAACATAGAAAAACCACCTCATGATGGTTTAATATTATATAATAAGCTATCATCATGATAAATGAAGAAAAGATTGAAATTTTTCAGGATTTTGTTTTACTTGGAGCCACAATCAACACCCTTGGAAGCAAGAGTCAAGAAACCAACTAAAAGCTATATTGCAAGGTGCACATCTGCCCCCAAGGCCCTCTCTGCCTTACTAAAGAGAAAGGACACACTTTCAAGACTAATGTGTGCCTAATTCAACAAGAGGGTTTTCATCTGCATGTGAAAATCAGACAGTGAGTAATGATGACCAAAGAATTGATGCCTTTGAATCGTGATGGTGGGGAAGAATATTGGTTATATCATAGACTGTACAAAGAACAAACAAATCTCTCTTGGACGAAGTGCAGCCAAAATGCTTCTTAGAAACAAGGATGTTGGGAGTTCATTTTATACACTTAGGTAATATTGTCAGGAAGAACCAGTCCCTAGAAAAGGATATCGTGCTTCGAAAAGCAGAGGGTCAGTGAAAAAGAAGACCCTCAACAAGATGGATTGGTGCAGTGGCAAGAGGCTTAAAGTTGAGATTTAGAGAATAACTCAGAATAGGGTAGAGTTTAAATAACTACATAATAGAACACCAAGAGTTGTCTTCTTCCAGTTCTTTCTTGGAAAATCTACACCCTTTACATGTTGTTGCTATAGATTGCCTTTGAGTCAAGCACAACTTACAGCGACCCTAAGAACAAAAGGCTTGAAGCCCTTCTAAAACTATCAACGTTTATCAAATTTCATAGAGTTTCTGGAGACATGTTTTGGAAAAATCCTCAGGGCCACTACTTTTTTTGACAATATGAGGAAATTCTATATCTAGAAAAAGATGTATGTCCCATTTGTTTTTTTCTCCAGTGATATTAATGTCAAAGAGAGAGAAGCAGGGGGAACCACCAAATTTCTTCAGCAATCTTCCTTCTCCTGTGCTACTTCTGTTTACAAAGAATTTCACTGGAGATTGTTTCCTTAGCCTAGAATTAATGAGAATGGAGAGACTTCATCCAGTTAGAAACAAACACAAAATTATCAAATAGCAGATCTCACTGGACTTTCTTAATGCATGAAGCAAAATTTAATTACGCCTTTTCTCAGCAGTATCATTCCCTAGATGGAGACGCTTTAGGGATAAGGCATCTTTAGTAATAACTACAAAACAAAAATGATGCAACTAATCCAGGAAGCTTTTGTCTAATTGACAAAGGCTCTAATTTGTTGTACAGTGGTGTCTTCCATATTTTTTAGGAGAAGATAAGAAATAAAATCAAATTACTATAGTAAATTCTGGCCCATTCCACCTGTGAAGGTAGCCATGGTACAGAGAGGGATGAAATCTGAGAAATAGAGCTCATTTTCAATGGGCTCTTTTAACTATCTTTAAGGAAGAGAAAACTTATTGGAATGTAAGTTGAACAGTTAAAGCAAACTCTGCCCTTTGTTATATACTTCTTTAGCAAATTTCAAGAGGCTATTAACTGTTTTAAGTGGAGTGAAAATAATGTATTTGATGGATGACCTGTGCCACGTGATTTTTATCATTGTTGGGTAATTCAGAAGGATTCAAGAAGACACAATTTATGCAGAGGGAAATTAAGGTTCTGCAGCTGACTGACTACAAGCACTTAAGTAAAATGACTCTTGAACAGCAAAATCAGAGGAAAAGGAAGCACTGAAATTCAGTTCACATCTACTCTAAACCATCTGGATGTCATCGTTGCTCAGAAAATTGTAGGTTAGTTGATAGATTGTTAGCGCGTTAAACAAGTGAGTTGTACTATCCTTACTGAATGGTCTTACTAATATTGAGTATTGTATTCTGTTCTAGCAACTGGAAATAAGGAAGAGAAACTGAAAATGAAATATTTCTACAGGTGTAGAAGGATGGTTTAGGCAGGTATAAAACTAAAAAAAAAAAAATATCCAAAAGGGGTGAGGCGCTCCAGGTCATTGTTAGTGGAAGATTGAGATACAAGTGTGTGCCTGATACAGGAAGAGTTATTAGAGACTGTGTAAAGGAGTCAAACAACAAAAAAAGGGTAATGGATGAAGAATTCGATTGGTCATCTTCTCTAGCTCTTTCATGACTCTGAAGCAAATGATACAGTGTCAAATGTATGTTATTGTTAAGGTCAAATCATATCTTTCAAACAAGAAAATGGAAAGATTGGTAATGAATATATGTATGGTGTTGGACTTCAATCTTTCTGGGCTAAAAGAATGCTTGAAAGTAAATTGTTGGTAAAGCTCTGACCACTTTCTAATTTTCAGAGATCAAAGACCAAAGAGTTTTATCCACTTTTAATAGATAAAGCAAGTAAGTTTCAGAGAGATCAACTGACTTAAGCCACCCATTAAGCTCATGATGACACAAGAATATATATAGGATACATAGTGAGAAATTTGAGTTCTGGGATTTCCTCTCGGAACTGCTTCCATGGCATGATACTTCAGCTCAGCACCTTCCACTTTTCTACGGCTCACTGTAGCCTATGGAATATAACCTCAGTACTGAGCAAAGAAAGCCACATGTGCCCTATGTTGCCCTCATATCAACATCCATTTTAAATTACATTTGCAAAATAAAAAGGAATATAAAGGCTTATAGATATTTTCTGCGGTGTGCAAAGGGGGTATGGGGTAGTCAACTTGGAGTCTGAATGCACAGGGCCCAAATCCAGCTCTGCCAGTTGCTAACCTTATGTACATTGATTGAGTCTTCATTTTCCTCCTGAATCGAATGGATTAGTAGTATTGATCTGTGGTCATTAAATAATGAAATAAAAACGCTAAAAATTATTGAGCACTTACATAGCTACTAAATAAAAGTCTGGTGAATGCTTTCCCTTAGTGATATTACTCTCACAATAACCTACAAGGTATGTATGCATTATTTTTCTTAATCTTTGCATTTCACATGATGCTAAATAACGTTATCAGGTTCAGAAGAGGTGAACTCTAGAGCAATTGGAAACAATGCATTCCGTTTTAGCCTGTAACCATAAATGCACAGCATATGACTCAAATATGGGTAATTTTTCCATACATGTCCGTTTCCTCCCTAGCTTTGCTTTACTCTCACTCTCCCACATTATCCCACCACGTGTAGATCCAGTACTCTTCAGGCCGTAGAAAAAGTTTTCTGAAATTGGAATTATTAGTTCACATATAGTCTCTCCACTCTAGAACCATCTCTGTCTATCTTAAATTATGGTACTTGAATCAATAAACTTGTTTGTTTTGCAAGTTCTTCCATGTAAAGATGGATCCTGTTGAATCTTTAAAACGCTGTCATTTCAAGTGTGCTGTTTTGTACCAGTCTCTCTCTCCCTTCTGTTTCCTTGGCCACACGGTGTAAACGAACTCAGATCATTCCTAACGCTCTCTAAGGTACAGGTACAGTTATGTTCTTTTCTCTGAAGTAATATTGACCAAATGTGTTGTGACTTCTTTGATCTTCTAGTTCAAACCAGCACCAGTCAATGGCCACTGACAACTACACGAGGGTCACAGAGTTCCTTTTCACGGGCTTGAATTACAGCCCCCAGTTACAGGTCTTCCTCTTCCTGCTCTTTCTGAGTTTCTACGTTATCAACCTCACCGGGAACCTGGGTATGATTATCCTGATTCGGATTGAGTCTCGTCTCCACACGCCCATGTACTTCTTCCTCAGCCACCTCTCCTTTGTGGACATGTGCTTCTCCTCGGTAGTGAGCCCCAAGATGCTCAGCGACTTCTTTGTGAGGAGAAAAGCCATCTCTTTCTTGGGCTGTGCTTTGCAACAATGGTTCTTCGGATTCTTTGTGGCAGCCGAGTGCTTTCTCCTGGCATCCATGGCCTATGACCGCTATGTTGCCATCTGCAACCCGTTGTTGTACTCAGTGGCCATGTCTCAGAGACTCTGTGTCCAGCTAGTGGTAGGTCCCTATGTCATTGGATTCATGAACACCATGACTCACACAACGAATGCGTTTCGCCTCCCTTTTTGTGGTCCCAATGTGATTAACCATTTCTTCTGTGACATGGCCCCCTTACTTTCCCTTGTATGTGCTGATTCCAGGCTCACAAAGCTGGTAGTTTTTGTTGTGGCGGGAGCTGTGGGCGTCTTCAGTGGTTTGACCATTTTGGTTTCTTACATTTACATCCTCGTTGCCATCTTGAGAATCCGCTCTGCAGCTGGGAGACGCAAAGCCTTCTCCACCTGCTCTTCTCACCTGACAGCTGTCTCCATACTGTACGGTACTCTTTTCTTTATTTATGTACGACCTAGTGCTAGTTTCTCCCTGGATCTCAATAAAGTGGTGTCTGTGTTTTATACAGCGGTGATCCCCATGTTGAACCCACTTATCTACAGCTTGAGGAACAAGGAGGTTAAAGATGCCATCCACAGAGCTGTTGCTAAGAGGAAGTTTTGTAGGACTTAAAGCCTGGTCTAGAAAAGATCGGGAAAGAAACCTAAAAAAGAAGTTAAACTAGGTGTATGGATTCCTAAGAGAATGGATCACTTGGCAAGTTTTGGAGTTGGACAGCACCCTCTATTCAATCATTTGTCCAAATGTTCACTGATTTATCAATCAATATGGATTACATCTCAAAGTCAAGAGAACAAATTCCTCCCTACTGGGACAATAAGCAACATCAGAATAGATGTAGACAAGATTGACACCACCAATGAATTAATCTTATTTGAATCTACAATCAAAGTCATTGGTACCTGCAGTCAAGATATCATGAGATGTATTGCACCGGGGAAATCTGTATTCATGGACCTTTCCAAATTATTGAGGAGTAATGATGTCAATAGAGGACAAAGCTGTTCTTGATTCAGTCCACACTCTTTCGGTCACTTTTTATGCATCTGAGAGCTGGACAATGAATAAGGATGACAGAAGAAGAAATGATACTTTGGACAAGAAGAATACGGAATATCCCATGAATTGCCAAAAGAACAAAGAGATATATCTTGGAGAAGCTGTAACCAGAGTGCTCCTTGGGAGCAAAGATTATAATGCTTCATCGCACGTACTTTGGACATGTTGCTGGGCGAGGTTATTCCTTGGAGAGGAACATTATGCTTGGGAAAGTAGAGGGTCAGTGAAAGAGAGGAAGGCTCTCAACCAGGTGGATTGACATGGTGCTGTGGCAATGAGCTTGATTGTGTCAGGTTGTGGGGATGGTACAGGACAGGACAGTATCCAGACAGATTGGTCTGGGGTCACTATGAGTCGTACTTGACTCAGTGGTATCTAACAACAACAATAGTGACAACCAATGCGACTTTATTAATTTTCATTTCAAACAAGCAAACCTAAACCCATATACTGCTCTTGAGCTAATGCTGGATCACGGTGACCCTCCATTGAGTTTTTCAGCTGTAAATCTTAATAAGAAGAGACTATTTCCACTTTCTTTCATAGACCCTGGTGGATTTGAACTCTCCACCTTTTGGTTAGCTGCTCAACATTTTACCTACTTGGTGACCAGAGTTCCTTAAACAAGGCCTTTTCTACATGATATACAAATATTAAAGTCCACAACTATAGTCCTTTTAATGTTTCATCTCTTAGCTATCTCATAGTACAATTGTTGTTATGTGCTATCAAGTGTCTTGCGACTCATAGCGACCCTATGTACAACAGCCCTAAACTTTGCTCTGTCCTGTGCCAATCACACTGTCTCTGACACTCCCACCCTGATTATCCCAGTCACTGAATCAATCCACCTCAGAGAGGGTCTTCCCCTCCTGTGCTGTCCCTCCACCCTCCCAAGCATGATGTCCTTCTCCAAGGACCGGTCTTTCCTCACAACATGTCCAAAGTATGTTAGATGGAGCCTCAGAATCTTTGCCTCCAAGGAGCCACCTGGTTTAACCCTTTCCAGTATGAATCTGTTTGTTTTCCTAGCAGTCCATGGTACTCTCAACACTCTTCTCCAGCACTACTGCTCAGAGACATCAATTCTTCTTTCTCCTCCTTCGTCATTGTCCAACTCTCTGATGCATAACAAGTGATTGCGAAGAACATGGCCTGTATCAGATGCACCTTAGTCTCCGGAGAGACACCATTGCTCTTCAGTACTTTGGAGAGGTCCTAACAGCAGACTTTCCTATGGCAATGCACCTTTTAATTTCCTGGCTACTGGTGCCAAGAATGTAGACTGTGGAGCCAAGCAAACTAAAGCTGTGTACAATCTCAATCTTTTCACCATCCGTCTGTCAAGAAGACCATAATACAATTACTTGTTCTAAAAACTTTATTTTATAATTCTATTTCTTACTAATTTTAATTTTGCTTTTATTTTCTGCCCTTGTTCTAGTTTCTCCTCTGATGATTGTTTGGAATTGGAGTTTAAAAAAATGTACTAGGATAACAGTCATATCTAACATTTATCAATGCTAATCTTTTAGGTATCCACTTCCTAAACAACATGCCTCCAGAAATCCTATGAACTTTGATAAATGTCGATCAATATAGAGGGGTTTCAGGCCTTTTGTTCATAGGGTCTCTATGAGTCATGCTTGACTTGAAGGCAATCGACAACAATACCTTTTAAACATTGTTCTTGTTAGGTGTTATCAAGTTGAGTATGACTCATAGAGACCATATGAGCAACAAATGTGAATTCTGTGCCATACTGGTCATCTCTGACACAATTGAGCTTATTACTGCTTATTACTTATTACTGTCGGTCCATCTTGTTAAAGGGCTTCTTATCATTTGATGACCCTCTACCTTTCCAAGCATGGTGTCCTTTTCCAGGAACAGCCTCTCCTAACAACATACCCAAAATATGTGCCTTCTTTGCTTTCAAGGAGCATTCTGGCTGTGCTTTCTCCAATAAATACTTGTTTGTTCTTTGAGAGTCCATTTACAAAAATATCTTAAATTGTTTTTAATGTGGTATTTTTATGATTAACCTCATTAACGGAATGTCTGGAACTTGAAACCCTTGCTTTTATACTATGTGTTGCTTTCATTTTATTTGAGGAAGCTTCAAGGCAAAGAACTAACTATGTGTGCTTAGGGACTGAAGGCGGACCTGCGTCCAATTCTATGACAGACGAAATGATGCTCAGGGACAATTTATAGCAGTAAAGAGGATTGTGCTCAAGTCTAATCCACTTCATAACTGAAAGAGCTTCTGATGGAATGGTGTAAACCTGGCTTTTCTTAGGATTCAATTTTATGATAGATGCTAGACGATTGTTTGAACTTTGATGGATAGAAATTTGGCTGTGTGGACCCAAACGCACTGCTGCTGAGTTAATTGACTCAGGACAATCATATAAGCTCTTGAGTTAATTCTGACTCAGAGTGATCCTATAAGATAAGGTGGCCATGGATACCTACTGTTGAGTCAGGACCAACTCATAGCTAACCTTCCTGTGGGATTTCAGAGGTGGTAATAGAGTTTCCATATATCACATACCATTGGGTTGGCATTCCTTACCATTAGATCCCTGGAACTTCCTTTAAGACAAGGGAGAACTGGTGTATAGGGTTTCCAAGATTATAATCTTTATAGACACACACTGCCATGCCTGCTGCTTGTGTATCAAGGACTGGAATTGAACAACTGATCTTTTAGTCAGCAGTAAAATGGTTTAACCACTGCAGCATCAGGGATAAACTGTGTATGATAAATCAAATGCACTGCTAACAAGTTGATCCCAACATGTGTTATCCTCAATCTGAGGTGGTAAGTCTTTTCAAAAGGAGTCTATCTCAGTTCTAATTGTGGGGCTGGTGGATTCGAATTACCAAGTTTTCTGGGGGATTCTTATGCACTAAAAATGTATAGATAATAATTTAATTGTATATGGAGCCTGAGACTACTTCTGCCTGTGCCTGATAATGCAAGTAGATATCTAGTATAACAAGAGAGTACATCCAGACAGCTCAACTTGATGGAACTGAAGCAAAAGTACGAAGAATACAAGACATCTTTCAGGTCTGTAGCCCTTTAAGGTACAACCCATGCCTATAGACAGTAGATGCACCTGTCAGGGCCACCATGTTACTCAGAAAGACTATCTAAGTCCAACATCTCTCCCAAGCTGATCTTTACCTTTTTTCTTTGAATGAAAATGTAAAATAAAAGAGAACTTCTCTGAGAATACAGATCAGCATATCTGCTTGTTATAGTGTCCTGTCTGCTTTGATGAAGAAATGGCCTAAGAATATTAAAGGCCTCTTAGGAGATTTGAGTCTACCTTAAGGTACCTCAGAAGATAAGCCTGGTGATTTACTTCCAAGAAAAAACAGTCATTGAAAACCTTACTGATTATAGATCTGTTCCGATACACTTGGACATGTAAGGAGTAGGAAAAGACTCAACAGCGATGAGTTCATGTCACCTATTTTCCCTAAATGAATATGTTGTTGTTGTTGTGTGCCATGAATTCGGGACGACCTAGAGCTGACCCTCCGGCAGTTAATTGCACAGAAGGATATTGCACATCCTTCTCCCACAGAGCAACTGGTGGATTCAAGCCACGAGCCGTTAGGACTACAGCACAGCTTTTTACCACGAGGCCACCAGAGCTCCCTTAAATTGATAGAGCAACAATGAAGTAGCATTCTTGAAAAGCCATAGTCCTTTGGGAAGGTGGTGGTTGCATCCCATCTAGTCAGAACTGACTCTGGCTGACCTTCAACTGCTTTTCAGAGGCAGTAGATGACATAGGAGGAGATTCCCATGGATTGGAACTGCATGTATTTTTGGTTTGTCAGTGTAACTCCTTACCATTAGGTCACCAGACCTCCCTCTTGGTAAGGTTAGTGTTGTTATGTACTGTAGAGTCGTAACCGACCCATAGCTGGCCCTCCATAACTCAGAGGCAGTTAATCTCATGGGAAGAGTTCGTCCATCCATCTCCCGCAAAGCAGCTGGTGGCCTCGAGCTGCGTGCCTTTGGGATTGGAGCACAGCTTTTTGCCATTAGGCCACCAGTGCTCCTTTGGTAAGATAGACTTAATCAAAATAAGTTTCTAAATTTTCGAGTACTTTTCCACATACAAACTGTTATGGGCTATTTTCTGCACTTCAGTATCTCTGAAAATGGATAACTGATCAATGAATACTAACTTCAACACAGAACAGTTCTGTGGCAGGAAGCTGAGACAGTACAGGGCAATGTTCTCCAAAGAAACCCTACCTGGATTCTCTTCAGCTGTTTCTCAAAATACCCTCTCCTTACTTGGAGAAAGGAGTCCAGGTAGTGCAGTGGTTAAGCACTTAGTATAACCCCTTAGTATAAGGTCTCAGCTTAACATTTCAGAAGTTGGTATTTGAACATATAGAGGCTCTGTGGAAAAAAAGACCTGGAGATCTTTTATTCTGAATGTCACAGTCTTAAAAGTCCTATGGGGCAGTTCTATTCTGTTAGCTGAGCAAAAATTGATTCCTAACGACAACAAGTTAAG